CGGTTATAGTGACTGCTGATAAACCTAAAAAAAAATATTGGATGCGTTCGGAAATGGAAATCGGTTGTTTCCCAAAAAAAACCTGAAAATGGCCTTCTACTACTGATTGGACTGACAAAGTTGTAGAATGTGTAGATTTGGATTCTAAAGATTTAAAACCTTATAATTCTCAAAAAATTCCTGATTATACTCGTAAAATTGAAATGGTTATTGATTTCAAACCTGATGAAAAAAATGTTACCAGAGGTTTCATAAATAATGCTACTCATAAAATTGATGTGAAATATCCTACTCTTAATAAAGTTTATGATGGTATAACCGAATTTGATGCTGATCAAGTTGCTTTCATAATTGAAAAAGAGGAAATTATTGATATTATTTTGATAAGTATGAATCTTTTATTACTAAAATTGTCTTTACTGCATTACATATATAATTAATTTATTAATTAATTAAAATTAATTAATTTATTAATTAATTAATAATTAATTAATAATTGATTAATTAATAACTAATTAATAATTAATTGATTAATAACTAATTAATTAATTATTTATTATTTAATTAGACAAGGACCATGGTGAACATCCCTTCCATTTGGTATGTAATAATTACAAGTACCGTATTATCGCAAAATAACGTGAAATAATTAATTAGTATTTAACCAATTTCTCTAATTCTATGATTTCCCAAATTTATATTAGCACGGTCACGTATTCTGGGTACTTGGTACAGGTGGAAATGAAACTACTCCAGATTATAACAATCTAAATACCATTGACCCGATAGAACGTGATACTACAACTATTCCTGCTGATGGGTGTGTTTAACTTTTCGTTCTTTCTGTATACTGTAGTTGATTTATAAATATAAATTTAATACAATAAAAATACAAAAATAAAATAATTTAATTTTATTATCAGATGGACTATTCTCCGATTTGTAGCAGATAATCCTGGTGTATGGGGATTCCACTGTCACATTGAGGTAATTTAATAATTTTTCCTCTAAATTTTTTATACAAATCTTTTTCTTTGATTTTGATTCTAACATATACATATATTTATATATATATTCATATTTTATATATTCATAGTGGCATGTACAATCAGGATTAGTTGCACAATTCGTCGCGCTACCAGATAAAATCAGAAAGTTAGACCCACCTGATGAATGGAAATCATTGTGTTCCAAATGTAAAATATACTAAATATCAATCCGATCTGTTGTTTAAGATATAGAGGTTGCGATTGAAGTTTAAAATGAGGCTGAAATAAAATGATCCAAAGTTGGATGACATTTTCTTTTTATTTAACCTATATTTTTTAAAGAAATAGTTTCATTCATTAATATTTCTTTAAATATGTAAAGTTGGTTTACTATTTTACTCGAAAATTGTACTATTTAACCATTAAAAAAAATTATTATTAGCTTTATTTTACAATTATTTTTATTGTATTTTTAGGATCATTATATATGTAGTTTTAAAATTAAATTTTCGCTTACATTTTCGCTTACATGTAAATTTTGTACTTTTCTATTTAATTTTTGCTAGCATATGTCCATTTATTCAATACCAATAAAGAATTCTAAGAAAGTATTATTTTGTTCTTATTCAATACCAATAAAGAATTCTAAGAAAGTATTATTTTGTTCTTATTCAATACTAATAAAGAGTTCTAAGAAAGTATTATTTTGTTCTTAATCGTAAACATTTTTTAAATATAAAATACTGAATTCAAGAAAAATATCTTGATAATAAATTCGTGAAAAAGTATGGAATAATTCCTTTTTAAGATTTTATAATATTGTAGTCAAAATATTTATAAAAACAAAAAATAAAATAACGCCAAGTTTTTAAACTTTTTTATTACTGTCTTGACAAACGAAATTCTAACCGTTTTTTGACAGACACATTTTTAATTTGTTTTTTTTTGACAATTGTTGACATATGCATTTTGCATATATATATATATATATATATATATATATATAATATATTATATAAATATACAGTATATATATTTGTTTTATCTTGGCAAACGAATTGTATATATTTTTTTAAATCTTGGCAAACAATTTTGTATATCTTATTTGTATATTATATTTTTTGAAAGTCTTAGCAGACGACTTTGTTTTTGACAGCCTTGAAAGTCTTGATAACCATAATTTGTATCTTTTTCGACAGTCTTGTTTATTGTACTTATTTTTGTTTGGAAAATAGTATATCTGTTTTTTTTTTTGATACCTTAATTTTGTTATTTTTTAATAGTCTTGGCAACCGTAATTTTTTGAGTACAGTATTATTTTTGGGGGAGTCTTGGCAAGCGTAATTTTTTGTGCCTTATTTTTTGAGTCTTGGCAAACGTAAATTTTTTACATCAATTCTATAACCTTATAAAATTTATTTTAAAAACAATTTATAAATTTGACAAAGTTTTTGCAAAGCTATTTTTGTTTAAATGTTTAAAAAAAAATTCAAAGAAAATAGATTTGGTGCGTTTCTACTGACTTATCCTATACATTTAATAAAATATTTAATAGGTATTCAATAAAATAAACATTTGAGCAATTTTAAAAATTGAAAATTTGGACTTTTATTGTTTGCCATTCTTAAAAAGAATTCATTGAAATATGGACGTGAATACGTATTGATATTGTATCTATAGTAGCTCTATCTAAAGCAGCATTCAAAGTAATACTTATCACTTTTTAAAATGGTTATTTGTGATACTGTTAGGTAGTGAGTAACACAAAATTTGTCACGATTTTTTGATTTCAGAGGAAATGGTTCCGATCTTGTGCAACAAATCCTGCAGGGAGATTTTTCTAGCAAATTCGGGTTTTTTATTTATTTTTATTGCATATAGTCAGATTTTTTCGATTTATGTAGATTATACCCCAAAAATTGGTTTAATTCTGGTCAAATTTGCAGATTATTTGACCTAATGGAGATAAGTTTTAAGGATAGAGTATACATAGAGATAGGATAACTTACCTGATGACGTAACTTACATTGTAACTTATAATGTAAGTTACATAAATCCAATGTAAGTTACAAACATGCAGATCTAATGCTAGCAAGAATTATGATAAACTTGGCCAGCATTAAGACAAAATTTTCAATAATGTAAAGGTATGGTTTTTTTCTGAGATGGACAATCAATAAACACAAATTACAAGCAATATCAAGCTATTTTTTTCAAGTAATATGTACTATTTATTTCCTGTGCAGGCAGAAATAAGAGGTAAATCATGTCATTTTATATAACATTATGATAGCATTTATTGACTCAAATACTTTATAACAAAAAAAAAATAGTTATAAAAAGACAATTGCAAACTGAATTTTCACTTTAATAATACAATTACATTAAAGAAATTTAATTTTTTTTTTTGGTTTTAAGGTGAGACCTTGCTCATATCTTTATTAGTAATAATTTTAAAATAATAACAATATAAATTACTACAAAGAAATTTACAAAGCTACTACTATTTGTATTAGTACAAATAAAAATAAAAATTATATGCAAGAATAAGAGCTCAGACAAGAAAAAATTTATCTGCGACCTAAACCTACTAGAGTGATTAAAGACTCACCTAGATTATTATAGTTAAAATATAGTTTAAAGAAATACTATATTTGGTCCAATAAAAGAACCAAGTATTAATTTTCTTTCTGGCCTGACCAATTGGTAGGCAGACTTCTGTGTATGAGTATAATTAATCAGATAATTCACATAGACAAGAATAAGTATATGTTTTACATTTATAATTAATGTTTTTAGAATATAAGTCTAAACTTGAATCTTCTGGATCTAAGTTGATAATGTATTGAGTAGAGTTAGATCTGTTATATGGATGAGATAGATGTTGTTGTTTTTTCCAGTTGGCAAAATTTGTACAATAAGGTTTTTACAATTGTTTATATAGTTGTTTATTAATCTTGAGCAGAAGATTAATTATAGTATTAGATGCTATTTTGTAAGGAATATTATAGTTTTGAAGTGTTTAAATTAAAGATTAAGGGATTAGACCTTTAAGAGTAGGCTCTATATAGTATAAGTAGATTTGAAGAGCTATATTGTAGAATGTCTTATGTTTATGAACTTTTTGAATTAACTTCTCTAATTCGTTATTAGTTATATCTAGTTCTGCTAAGCACAAATAATTTGTAATAGTAGATAGGATTATCTGCTGAAGTAAAGTAGGATTAGTACAGATATACCAGTGTGATAGAGAGTCCTGAGAGCACAATGAAAGCAGTTATCATTGTAAAAAGACTTAGGATATATAGAGTGATAGAGTGAGTGTGTAGGAAGTATATTAAGTAGTGTTTTAATTTTAAAAGATTTAAGTTAATTAAGTTTAAAATTTGTAAAGTTGTTTGTAATTTTCTGGTTATGGTTAAATAAATCTATGTAGATCTCCAGTCTATTTGTTTGTTAAGTAAAGACTATTCATTGTTGTATTTTTGAGATAACCACATTGCTAGAATATGGGCTTTACAGATTGTTTTAATAAAATATCTGGTAGGATATTCTATTAGAAACTGATCCTCTTCTCATTGCAAGGTGTGAAATGGGTTGTAAATATTGGTGTAGTTAAAGTATAATGATGTTTCAGATATATGTTGTTTAGCTAATAGATCAGTTGAATTGTTAAAAGTATTATCAGTATAAGCCTGAACTTTATGAAAAGTAAGGCTTAAATTAAAAGATTGAATTAAGTTAAGAAGCATATGCCACAGAGGCTATGAATTAAATTTTAAAAGTTTGTTGAGGTTAATAGTAGTAGAGTTGAGTTTTGTAAATTTGGAGATAATAGATTGAGAGTCTGTATAGATATTAATGAAAGAGTTGCAAGAAGTAGTTGAAATAGCAGATAAAATAAAAAAAGTTTAGCTTTGTAAGAAGTTGGTTATAGATGAATTTTAGCTGAAAATTTATGGATTATTTGGTCATTATCATCTATTTGAACCCAACATATACCCATAGAGCACTGGTTGGTACCAATATTAATAACTGATCCATCTGTGTAGAAGTTGAAGGTATTTTGAGTAGAATTCAATAATGAAATTTTAATTAGTTTATCTGTTTTGGTATTAGAATAAAAAATTTTTGATATAGCGAAATGAGAAATAGAGATAGATAGTAATA